ACAACATACCACACTAATGATGCACTCGCGGCCATTTCGCTAGCTCCACATATGCTAAATTTGGTTTTACCCAACGTGAGTAGAGGACAAAGGTAAATGACACGTCCACAGATGATTATCATGGCATGCATGTCACGTAAAAATTGACTACATGCTGTGCTAATAGCACGTTCGGAGCCGTTTCACTAGCTCCACATATACTAAATTTGGTATCAGGTGATATGAATAGATGACGCAGGCAAATGATACGTCCAAACATGATCATCATGACATGGAAGTCATGTACGGCATAACTTAACGCCACCTCATAGCGTTGCGCTAATTTCAAATTGACGTATCGCCCTTTCTCATTCGTGCTTCGCATATCATCGATTCCCACTGTACGTGGGAAATGCCAATTTTTTCTTTCTTGAGTTTTCACATATAAAGATACCAGCTGACCCTGTCCAAATAATTGCTATCGCAATGACAAAATAAGCAAAGCTGAACGTCATCCGGGGCTACACCATGCACGCATGGCATCAAAAATTAAGAGTGAACGACGCAGGCACAGACATAGATATCACAGAAAACTATTCGGTAAAGTGCCTTCCATTTGCAACGCGGCCCCACATGTCACACTAATTAAAAGCGTGGCACTGCCAATGCGCAAAAGTATTCTCTATTTTTTTATTTTGGTTTGAAGTAAAGGAGGGGGGGGGGGGGTCATACCTGGGCATGCGTTTATGGCAGCGAGAATGGTGGCAACGCCGCAGGCTCGCTTGCTTACCTTGCATTGACCCGTGAACAATAACGAGCGCACGCTCTTGCCTGGTGCACCATTCCCACCGCCGCCGCTTTGCGCTTCGTTGATGGGTGGGCAGATGCAGAAAATGCATGCTTGTACCAAAATGCGAAGCAAAACTCCTAGATTGTTCATGGGGAAAATTCGTTACATCAAGGTTGTTTACCGCTGTTACTTTGTTACATAGAGGTCACAAATACATGTGCTTCTATTGAGCAACAGCAGGAAATAGAAAAACTTCATTATATCAAGAAAATGATTATATAGAGGTTCGTTATAGGCAGGTTTAACTGTACGTGTTTTTGAAGTTAACTGTAGCTACGAACACTGCAATGAACTCTTAATTGAGTGAACTTCAAGGGACCCAAGGAAATAGTTCTTTTAACTGAAAGTTCACTAAACGAAATATTCACTAGAATATGGAACAGCATTGGGCACAGCAGACATTAGTCTTTTAACTGAAAGTTCACTGAACGAAATATTCACTAGAATATGAACAGCATTGGGCACAGCAGACATTAGAGTCAAAAGTGTGAAATGCAATTTATTTTGAAAAAAAAAATCTGTGATTTTCATTTGCACTGGCACCCTTAAAGCACAAAAAAAGAAAAAGCTTTCTAGAGAGTCTAGGTTTCTGTGCACTGCCTCTGGCACAGCTTGTTGCTGAGACACGAAGTCTCGCAACTTTCTAACATCCTCTACTGCCTCGGCTAATGTTGCAGGATTCGAACCAGCCTCAGCTGTTACCACTTCATCGTGGCACTCTTCTTCTGGTCCCGCACAAACACTCAAAACAATTTCTGAATCAGATACTTCTGCAGAAGTGACAAAATTACTGTCACACTGCAGTTAGTCCTCAAATGAAGCACCACTGTAAATGTACAGCTGTCCACATTGTAGAGTCAATGACTGCACCATGCTCTTTCTTCTGCTCACTGACCTCGTCATGCTCTTTTTGCTCATTTGCATCCTGCATGAGAGAAAGGCCGGATTTGTGCCAGCAGTTTCTAATTGTAGCCTGTGACGCTGACCACCAAGAGCCTGTTACCATCTCGGCCACCTGCCCGACTTTGACGGCTCATTGTTCCCAATCTTTATATTAATTAAACTCCGCTGCACAAGCCGCTGTCAGTACTCGACCTTCAAGTTTTGTATGATGCCAAAGTCGAGCGGTTGAAGCACGGTGGTGCAATTTGGCCGGAAGTATTCGACATGCACATCACTCAAATAGAGATCGACAAGATGTGCAGAGCAATTATCTACACTCAAAAAAACTTTCTTCTTGCTTTTCTCGTTTTTTCGTTGATGCTCAGCAGCTACTCACTGAAGAAATTCCTGGTCATCTATGATTTTTTGTTGTTTTTATACGTGCATGAAAGTGAAGGGAAACCTTTAAAACATCGCAGTGTCGCCTATTTTCCTACAACTATAGGCTTGACCTTTGTGGCTGCCACTGGCGTTGCACCACAACAGCACAGTGACCCTTGCTTTCGATTGCTTCCCACCTTTGCAACTGTCACTTTTGAATGCGATTGTCTTGCTTGGAAGAATCTCAATAAAGCATACCAGTTTTGACAGCGTTGTAAATTTCATCGGGTGAATATCCACTAATGATATCCCGTAGTTTTTCATCCCTCCAGGTTCTCGCCGCTTCATGATCGGCATCCTTGCTTTAGCCGCAAATTATTTTCCACGAGATTCTATGCCTATCCCAAAATCAGGTAAGCCATCCGCTGCTTGCTTTGAAGCCACGAACGACCAGAAGCAGAGCGAATTTCTTCGCTTTGCACTATGTCATCGGGCCGGACAAGGGTATGTTATGGGACTGCAAGTAGCGGAGCCATACCATAACGGCATTATCCACTGCCTTGAAATATCCCGTGCAGAGTCACTTCTTGGTAGGATTGAACGAAGTTTCTCCTTCGAGCTTCGATTTTTGTTTGACTATCGCTGACAATGTTGACGGTGCAATTCTGTATTCCTTCGCAATGTCCACCTGCCTTTGCCCGCTGTCCAAACACTTGAGGATTTTGAGCTTGTCCGACAGAGACAACTGCTTACGTGTCGTCGAACTCATTACAAAAGTGTGTGCACGGCGCGTGAACTGCGTTTCTGTTACAAGGGCTCACAGTGTGTGAAATAAACTGTTCTTTCTCGAAATGAAGATGGCCGCACATTACCGATGATGCCAAGGGATGCCAATGAGACAGGCAAAAAAAGGAGGGGCGCTGGCAGCGCCAGCAAATTGATGTGCACGTGGCTTCTTTTCGTTACCCACACGGCCGTTTAGCCACGGCGGCCCTGCATGCACAAGTGATGTCGCGCTGCCGCCGATAGATGGGCGATTTAGTGGTGGCATTGGCTGTGCCAGTGCTGCAGTACACAAAAATTGATTGAATTGATTTTAAAAATGAGCCTGGGTCCTCGGATCAAGTTTGTGTAACTGAAAAATAGACAATTCTGAAATTCGTTTAACTGAAAGGTTTTTGTTATAATGCATAAGAAAATCGCCGAGAATTTTTGAAAAGTTCCTTATTCTGAAATATACATTAAACTGACGTTCATACAAGTGAGAGTTTACTGTACAAAGAGCAAGCTTTATGTCAAGCCACAAAAACTGGATAAACAAAAAATCAGTTGTCGCTCTCTTCAAGCACAGACATGCGTATGTACCCTGTAAATCTGAAGTGGTCTACAAATTGCCCCTGACCTGTGGAATGGTTTATGTGGGGAAGACTGGAAGCGTTTTATGGAGCATGCGAATTCATTAAGAGACAGGAGTGGGAAGCACCTACAGCTCATTGAGGCACATGCGCACAGGGATGCAAGCTCATCTTTAGCAGCAGCGAGGTGATAGGGCGAGCCAAAGCCGCAGAGCGAGAGAAATCTTGAACCTCTTGAATAGCTAGGCACGGGCCTGACAAGTACGGCAGCGAAACATCTCTGTATTTTTCCAGGAAAGAGCGCGATTTCCTTTTTAGTAGATAGGAGTCTCGGGGATTTGATAGAATGATATGTGGGGTTTTATGTCCCAAAACCACCATGATTACGAGAGACACCGTAATGAAGGGCTCCGAAAATTTTGACAGCCTCGGGTTCTTCATCATGCACCCAAATCTGAACACGTGGGCTTACAGCATTTTCGCCTCCATCGAAGATGCAGTAGCCGGGATTCGATCCAGCGACCTGCGGGTCAGCAACCGAGTAGCTCGGCCACTAGACCACAGCGGCGGGGCAGTCTTGGGGGTGGTGCAACTTATCATGTGGTTATGACTGTCATTGGGCACGCGTTTAGTTTGTTTCACAAGAGTGGTGTATGTTTCAATGCACCAGTAGTTAGTTTGCTATCGTCCTGCCCACTTCGTTTCTCATGTGTCGTCTTTAGTGCAGTTATGTTTTTCAATAATGTCTTACAAACTAGCCCCCAACATACGCTTTTTGAGTTAATTGTATTGTAATAATTGTGAAATAGGTGTGAAGATATTAAAGTAGACCAAAAGACAACTTGCTACTGGCATGGACCAAACCTGTGACATTTAGATGTGAAGGTCACAAGATCCAAAGATATTGCTGTGCGATCATGGCGTTGACAAAGGCTACAATTGGTGTCTTCAAGCTTCAAGGTGAAACTCTTCATTTGGCTTTGAACATGGGGTCGTGAAATGTAAACCCAAATTACAGCAAGAAATGTAAGCTATACACTGATAATGGTGCACAGCGCATCAGTCATGTAAAAGCTCAAAGCAGTGAAGCATGTCGGCATTTATCCATGTGCCGTTGAATATTCCAGAGTCACGGCGAGCAGCCACGTAAGTTCCAGAAGCAACTGTAATGTTCGAGTTGTAGGTAAAATTGCATTGAAAGCTTTCAAGATTATTTAGGTGGTTATTAGAACCATCAAAATTATTAGTGTAAGTGCTGCATTGCGGTTTGCACAACACAGCACTTACATGCGTAATGGGCCGATAACAAAAACTTGGCAATGAATGAGTGTGGTAGTTTAGCAATTTTTTCACTTCCAAGATGGGACAAAGTGAATGGCACAAACACATACTTGCTCCATCTGATCTTGGATGCGCTTATGGAAGCTATGAATCAGCAACAAGCTCACCGTGCAACCTTAGTTGACCATTTTGAAGGATTTCAAAAAACATAAATGCAGCGAGACAACATATTGCAACTGTTTCGCTTAAGGAAAAGAGAAATGGGTACGCACTTCCTCTCGCGTCATGCCAATTCCCGTGTCCTGGATGGTGAATGTGTTGGCCAACTTGTCAGTGGCAATGTGGATCTCCAGGGGTGATGCGGTTGAGCATGTGGACAGAGAGTCTGGTTCTGTGAGCCGCACGTAACGCAGTTTCTCAAGGGCATCACTGGCATTCGATATCAGCTCACGTATAAACACCTCCTTTTCTGAGTACAGTGATCGAGCAACAATATCGAGTAACATGCGAGTCTCTGCCTGGAACTCCAGAACTTCACTTGGTCCGCTTCCACGTTCATCATTCTGGAACAGAGAAAGCAGTTATATTATCAGCATCTTTCGTGTAACTTGCATATCTGCAGAGTAATAACCTGTGAAACATGATGAAGAAAGTGCAAAGATGAGAACCCAGTGTTAGGCAACCATACTAGTGCTCGCTAATTTTCATTATGACGTCTCAACTCGCCCAACAATTCATTATTACACCTGTGCCAGCTAGCAAACTACTACTGGCATGCCCAGTAGTAGTTTCCAAGGTGGTTTTGGTTCCCCAACCGGGGTCGGCCGGGTGAGGACGGAGTGAATTCCTCCAATGATAATTGACATGAATTTCCTTATCTGTTATATAGCATTTATTCGATATTTCATAAGAAAATGAATAAATGTTCATTTTCAGCACACAGTTAAGGTGCAATATTAATGACGGAGCTAATCATACTATCATTATCAAACACCTGTAAGCTGTCCTGCCTGTTTCCTTGTGCCCATGACGGGAGTTCAGTAGCATGTGACATTGAGCCAACAGAACATTGCGTGATAAGCCCTAGTGCTAGGTTCAGTTATCAGACTCGTGCAAATAGTAAATTTTTTATTCAAAGCGAATAGCAATTTGGACAAATATTTTCTCATTGAATTAGAATACTATATATTTCATATTATAAGAAAATGAGCATATTTATCATGACCCAACAGACCTGCAGAATATATATATATTTTTTAACTTGAATAAGGAATGTGCAAATGTCACCCTTCTTGGTTCAAAGAAAGTGGAAGCAACCTTGTATAGTAGCATAATTTGCTTTCCAATAGAATGAAACACAAAATTCCAAAAATATAGGTTTTAAAATTTGTTACAGTTAGAGCATATAAGCCAGTATAAGCTTTTAAACTTGGAAAATGATGAATCAATGTTAGGGTAATATCTTCACTGAACCTTGAAGTGGGGCTACATGGCAGTGAAGATTTCTTCTGGACATGTTGGATGGATAGATTGATATGACTGCACCCTTTAGATCGGGCGGCGGCTAACGCTACCTGCCCATAATACTTAGTTAACAAAAACTAGATTTATCTTTTTTTTTTCCACCGAAAGCTGTTATGAGATCACAACTCGGGTCATGCCCAGTTGCCCGCCACCGCCGGTGTCCATAACCACACCGCGCGAAATTATAAAAAAAAAAAACCTAGCACCAATGACACAGTGTGGCTCAAACCAGGGTCCACTGGGTGCCAGCCCAGTATTCTACCACTGAGCCGCACTGCTCCTTGGGATGTGTTGGCAAACTTGCCTTAGGCAGGCTTGATGTCGGGAAAGCAATCACAATATACGACTTATAAAGCGTTTTAAAACAGCCAAAAAACAAGCAGAGGTCGTTGAATGAGAAGAGCATAACGAGCGAGTCGTTCATGCTCGAACCCATTACAAAAGCTTGTTTTTGTTCAGCTATTAACTGTGGCACATGCCCACTTCAGACATAATTCCTTATCGTCGTTAGTTAATGCATCAACCATTGGCAAAAAAATTCCTTGCAAGTGTTTAGTGGAAACCACGCTTCTCAGAAGAAAAACGAAAAATAGCATAGTGAATCCCAGTCTACAACCTAAAAATTTTTATTATTAATGCCTTAGTAGGTATCAAGCAAGTGTGCATGCAGTGATTACCCAATCAGTGCTTTGAAAAGCCCTGAAAGGCCGCTCTTCTAGCTTTTGCTGTGACTGTGCCTTCCGCACAGACCTGGCATTTTTTTCTTTTAAATAGTGAAGTTAAGGACTGACACTTTACAGTGAAGAATTTAATTTTCACAAGTGCCTTGATTGTAGCCACCAATGAAATTTTGCTCTAACTATCCCTAAAGCCCAGTGCTTTGAAAAACTCTGCGCCATCATCCTGAACTATAGGATGAAGCCCTTTACAGGACATTATCAAGTGTTCCGCAGTTTCCTCCTCCTCTCCGCATGCAAGGCATACGGTGTCTACCCCTTCGTACTTGACCCAATATGTCTTGGTTCGCAATACTCCCGTCCTGGCCTCAAACAGTAGAGAACTACCCCGTGTATTAACATAGATCCTTTCCTTGGCAATTTCCTGCTTAAAAGTTCGATAGATCTCTAGTGGGGACTTCTTAATCATGCCTAATTCTCCACGTAACGGTTTTCATTTCCTTCACCTTCTTAACCGATAGTTTATTTTTGTTTGGCCCCCAGCTCTTTTCTAAGTACTTACCCATCATACATCTGGTTCGTTTCCCCCATTTCGTATAGACATTCCTCATGCACAAGTAGCTGAAAACCTTCCTAGCCCAACGCTCCTCTCCCGATTTCTTTAAATCGTTTCTCAAATTTTATCTTGCTGCTAGCTTCCTCGCCATCCAATGATGTCTATCCCATATTACCTTGTACTCCCTCATTTATTGTATTCCCGTGGGCTCCTAAAGCCAGCATACCTATCCCACGTTGCTTAACTTCTAATCTTGCTTGAACCTCTGATCCTAAGCACAAGACAGCATTGCCGAACGTCAGACCAGGAACCATGACCCCTTTCCAAGTTCCTCTCACCACATCGTACCTATTATAATACCAGAGTGGCCCTACATTTCATCACCGACGCATTCCTCTTAACTTTAGTCGTTACGTATCTTTCATGTTCCCTTTGGTGCTTGCCCCCATTGCGTATCCATACGCACATATATTTGTATTTATCGGTTACCTCTATCGTGACCTCCTGTAGTGTATCCTAAGCTCACTGCCTTCACTATCGTTAAAAATCATGACTGCTGATTTTTTCTTACTGAATCTCAAATCTAACTTATCGCCTTCATTACTACAGATGTCCATCAATATCTGCAAATCTTCCTTGTTGTTGGCCATTAGCACGATATCATCTGTATACATCAATACTGGTAGCACCTGTTCAATGAGATTTCCTTGTTTGACAAATAAGAGGTTCAAGCGAAGTCCGCTCCCCTCTAATATGGCCTCTAATCCTTGAAAGGTACATCACGAATAAGAAGGGTGACAGAGGACACCCCTGCCTAAGCCCTCGTTTTATCTCTGTGGGCTTGGATACCTTTTTTTTTTCCATTTTATAACTACCTTGTTACTTTTATAGATATTCTTCCAGAGATTAGTGACTTCTAATTCCCCACCTAGTGTGTCAGTATTCCCCACAAGACCTCTTGAACCACGCTATCTACACTTCCTTGATATCCAAAAATGCTAGCCACAGGAACCTGTGTTCCTTTTCTGCTATTTCGATTCATTGTGTCAGTGAGAACAGATTGTCTTCCAACTTCATTTGTTTCCAAAACCCATTCCACAGGTACCCCAGCACCCCTCATTCTCTATCCATGCCTGCAGTCTTTCCATTATACTCTGCATCACCAGCCTGTAAACCACTGATGTCACTGTTATAGGATGGTAGCTGTTTATGTCAGCTTTGTCCCACTTTCCTTTGCAGATCATGCTTATCCTGCTAAGTATTCATCCATCAGAGATTTCGCCATCGACTATTGTTTTGCTCCCTGCCTCTCAAAATTTGCTTAGACTTGGGACCCAATTCCTTTATCAGCATAATTGGAATGCTGTCAGGGCCTCTTGATGTACTACCAGGAACCCTCTTCTCAGCCCTTTCTCACTCTCGTTGTGAAAGTGGAGCCACTGCGCCACTTGATCCATCCTTGTCTATTAAAGTGCATAAGGCACTTCCTTGTTGAAATTTTTCTGTCAAACTTATTCTCATATATTCAATAGCTTCGTCCCCTTCTTGCCTAACACCTTGAGGTGTAGTTATAAACCTCTGCTCTAGGTTTGTCTCATTACTTAGAGAGTTTAAATGGTTCTAAAATTTTGCAGCTGCCTTTCTATCCTACTTATGTACTTTTGTCAGCCACTGAGCCCCCTTTCTTCTAATCTTTTTATGATCAGAAGGGATGCTTCCCTTCTACAGCTTAGGAAGATTAACCATTTTCTTTCAACATCATCTGCCGGTTCACCCCGCTGCTTAGCGTGTCTGTGTTCCCTAGAGGTTTCCTGATATTTTGCTATGGCTCTCTTAACTTCCTCATCCCACCAACTTTTGGGTGTGTGTCTCCTTTTCCGGGGTGATTTGTCACGTGCCTTAGCAAGCTCTAGCTCGAACAGTCTAATTAGATTCGTGTATGTGCACACTGTTTTATTATCCTCAGTGATTACTTTCTCACTTAGTTTAGTAGCTATTTATATTTGCCTTTAGGAATGAAAATTCCCCTGTAACTGCTCACCTTGTCTCCTTCCCACTTTAATTGCTCTTCCGAAACTTAGCTTGACACGTTTGTGATCACTATCTAGACTTCTGGAACCACATTCATCTATATGCATTCCCCTGAGCTTACCATACATCCTATGTGACATCAGTGCGTAATCTATCGTCGACTGCAGCCTTCCCAACTCCCGTGTTATCTGCCCTTTACAATTCTCAGTACTGTTGCAAATTATGAAATCATGCCTTACACACATATCCATGACAATTTTGCCTGTTGGGTCAGTATAGCCATCTATATCTTCAATGTGCGCATTCATATATCCTAGTATATTTATCTCGCAATCCTCCTCCTAATTACTCAATATCATTTGTTATACACTTCACTAATGCCTGGCCCCGCCGTGGTGGTCTAGTGGCTAAGGTACTCGGCTGCTGAGCCGCAGGTAGCGGGTTCAAATCCCTGCTGCGGCGGCTGCATTTCCGATGAAGGCAGGAAATGTCGTAGGCCCGTGTGCTCAGATTTGGGTGCACGTTAAAGAACCCCAGGTGGTCGAAATTTCCAGAGCCCTCCACTATGGCGTCTCTCATAATCATATGGTGGTTTTGGGACATTAAACCCCACATATCAATCAATCAATCCACCATTGCCTGGCTTTCCTCTCTGGCCTTTGCTCCTGTCCACATGTACACCAAACCAAGGAGTGTCATCTGCCTAGCTACTTTCCCTTTTAGCCATAAATGTTCCCTGCATCTTTGCTTGACTCTTTGCGAACCCATACTTTTA